AGTCATAGCCACTGCTACAGTGTTCTTTCGGAGATTTTACCTGAAGAACTCGTACTGCGAAACGGACCCTTATCTTGTTCTCTCAGCATGCTGCTATGTTGCTGCAAAGGCAGAGGAGTCCCCAGTACACATAAAGAACGTGGTGGCCGAGTCGCGTGCGCTGTTCAGTCGTGAGATTTTGACCGTTCTTTTCCGCGAAGAACGAGTACTAAGGTATTCCAAACATGACACGTTACAGAAGAACAATACAATGTCAAGCACTTCCCTTCTGACAACTCCAAACTCGCAGAAATGGAATTTTATCTTGTGGACGATCTGGAGTGTGACTTAATCGTGTTTCATCCGTATCGAACATTGCTTGCTTTGTGTAACAAGGATTTTGGTAACAGCAATTCCAGCTCGGATTCTCCTGCGGAGGAAGCTGAAGCAGGCGAACTGGGCACGGGCATCGGCGCCGACGATGGCCCCAGGTATTGGGGTACCGGCCAAGGACAACTGGAGTTATCTGAGGGGGGGTTACAGACCGCATGGTACATACTCGTTGCTCTACGTTTCTCGTGATACTTAAAAGTTCACCTCTAGGTTTATAATTAACGACACTTATCGCTCTGAACTATGTCTCATCTATCCACCGCATCTGATCGCCGTGACCGCCATCTATCTTACTCTTGTCCTTCATACACCCACTCAGAATAGTATCGCGCATCTACTACCTTATTCTCCTGCATTCAACTCGGACTCTTCAAATTCAGGCGAGTCATCCCAAACAACTCCACATCCAAGACGCTCGTCACGGACCAGTGATTCCTCATCGAAACATGCAAATCAACAAGACCCCATCGATTTTCTCGCAAACCTCAACGTCTCACTTTCTGCTATAGCCACCATTGCGCAGGAGATCATATCGATGTACAGTCTGTGGAATAGGTACCGCGAAGACGTCACTGCTGAAGAAATGAGGAATATGAACGCAAATGCAAATATGGGTAAGAGGAACACTGCGGGTAATTTCAAGAGTGCGATGAAAGGAGCCCGTGTTTCCCAAAGTATGCAGAGCCAGAAAAATCTTCCCCGGAACGTTTCTGCATCCGCCGCCACTACCTCTGATATGGAATGGCAACTCGAACGGCAACGATTCCATGGTGCAATGCAATTACAGGCACATCTCAAAAAACAAGGGTATGCCTCAGCACCGCTACCACCACAGCACATGATAAACGGCCCGTATTTTATGCCCCAACACCCACAACAAATGCAACATCGTTACCCTCCAGCTCTAGTTCCAGTCTCCCTTGGATCTCTTAGCCCCACAAAGAGGTCTGCAACGGGACTGAGATCTCGGTCAGGCTCGAGAGCCGGGACACCGAACAGTGTCGGTGGTGGTGGACGGATGGAAGATTTATTTGGAGATGGAACAAGCTCTGGATCTCCTGCATCTCATACATCACATGCAGCAGGAGTAGGCCCAAGGGCTGGTTCGACGCCGCTGGGCAATACTCCCGGAAGTGTAGGAGGGGCAGACGACACTGCGAATTCGCCAATCAACCCATGGCCGTTCGGTCAAGGGCGCATAGTCACAGCCATCTTCTTGTCTTCGATGTTAAATACCATGCGAGAGGCAAGGATGAATGATATGGCACATCCATCGAGTGGAAGACCGGTAGTCGTTAATCGAATGCTGGAAAGGACTTGGTAGGGTGCAAGCACAGCTCATTGCAAATGCATAACATATCAATGGTCGGAAGTACGAGTGTGTTGTTCTATTGAACGTACATACGATAGGATTCACATGTATAATTGACAATTGTTGCCCGCTCCGCTGTAGCCATCATCGCTCGTCTACCATATACGGATATCTTCATCATCCGTCTATCAGTAAAACCAATTTCACTTCCAGAAAGCCTCATGGTACGTCTCCCAGCTGAACAAGTCACTGTGTCATTCCCGAACGAGGCGCTGCCGCTGTTTCAACAGATCTACTATACCCACAGAATAACCCAAGATCAAGTGAACCTCCTCAACTTTCAAACCTTCCTCGTCGCATAAGCACAAGCTCCACTGTCTCTCAAGTTTTCGCTAAGGCTAACCTGGCTAACCGACAAGCATCCAACTAGTTTTTAGAACCGGTAGGTTGCCTGCTCCGAACAACAATCCGTACAGCTCGTACTACATCCTCGGTAACCCCATCTACATAGACAGGCCAATTCTAGATGTCGTTCCGCAGCGGTATAAAACCTTAACAAAGTGCATGATAACTACGAACAACTAAAGCACTTGTGATAACAATCCTTATGGTGTTTGATGCATCTACATAGGTGCTTGTACTATGTACCAGATGCGCATTAACCCTGTTCCTCCCCTTGGAACCTCACACATTCAAAAAACTTCAAGTATCTGCATCTCATCGCCAAGGACACCGAAACAAAAATCAAATCCAATCATTTATTGATACCGTACGAGAAGCTGAGGTCCAATACATTTTATATATTCCAATTCTGTCTTTTCCACAACCGTTTAGGACAACACGATAACGAAATATGAAAGCGCAGAACCTCAAGGTGAAGATATATTCTGCAATTTCTTTCTTCAATCCCGAGATGAGAACGTACTTGTATAAGGACCTCCGGTGGATTTTGGGCTGCTGGTGTTCCCGACGTTCCAGGTAAGCTATTCCCCTGCATCAAAATGAATACTGATCAATGCGGATTCAGGCGCTAGACGCGTTTGGCCCATTGGACGTTCTTAACCTACTGTCTGGAGATTTTCCAATGAATCTTAGCATCATCGCCTAAACTCTGGAGCCGGTCTCTACCAGACCTCGAGACCCTTCTCTGAATCCAGTGAGGTCAAACTTTGGGGAATCAATTGCACACACATGATTTCACCAATGCACCTCCCTTTGACGTACTGATTATCACCGGAGTGTACGGTGTTCTGGCGACTTGATCATTCTGTACTCGGTCTTTTCCAATGCTCCCCGAATGAGATTACGCAGACAATCTGCCAGGTAAACATGAATCTCTTATCGGTATGTTCCTAACGGTGGCGTTTCCCGCCTCAAGTACTGGGACCTGTGTTCGATGGATGCTCAAAAAAGGTTTTGAATTAAGATCCCGGTCTGGATATTTGTTATACGAGGAATACCAATAATCCAGCATCTAGGTCACCCATTAGCAATCCGACTCTTCTCGCCCTCGTTCAGTCTTCTGGGAGCAGTTTCAACACCGCCGTTCAACTATGTAATTCACATTGTTTGATGTATCGAATCATAGTGAAGGTCGATGCCCACGCTGTCCCATCTCCAACTGTTACCCAGTATTATCATTAACATATGCAATATCAACTTTACACTTCCATCCAGAAGTATTGATGCTAACATGATTTTTTTCCACTTTGTTCTTTGCACGACTGGAGATTGGACAATACCCTAGGATGACCTCCTGAGCAAATGCTCCTTAAAATTCCCTCATCATCGATTAAGCAAAGCAGGTCCCTCCGACTCTTTCTTATCATTCCCATGACAGACACTCTAGGGATTAGCGAGGCTCAAATTCTTGGACTGTTTCTTGCCAGCGTTTTTTGGGGCATGTTACTCATCACCTTTGTCCAAGCAATGCGGTGTATGCTTTGGGATCTCAATGTCCCAGGTGGCAGACTCAAACGCGCATCGACAATAAATTGGCCGATGCTTGTTGTAGCCCTACTCTTGATGGCGTTATCGACTTTTGATGTCTCACTAGGTCTGATGCACAGTATTGAGGCCTTCATCTTCTACACCGGCCCCGGCGGCTCAGCTGCAAGGTTTACAGGTTTAACAGATTGGGTGAATATTTTGAAGGTTCGTCGTATGAAGATTTGTGATTTCTATCATGCTCAAGTCTCGTCGTCCTTTGCCCTCCTCCTCCGTCAGACGTGCAACGTTGTATTCGGCAAAGTAATTAGCGATGGCGTCTTGGTCAGTGCAAAAATACTCTCAAAGTCCCCTTTTTGTCGAGTTCATTTTCCTCTACCTACTTCTACTGCTAGGTATACAGATGCTGGGCTGTGTGCGACCGTAGAATCATTGTTGTTGTATTTCCCATACTCTTGTGGATGGGATATCTTGGTACAGGAATATTTGTCATTTATCTGGAAGCGAGCGCAGGAAACCCCAAAGTGTTGCTCACTGGAGGACTATCAAGCCTCACTCCCAGCATTACTGCTGGTTGGACGATGTCATTGGTTAACAATATCATAACCACAGGTATGTTAGGCTAGTGCTCATCTCTTATCCCTTTTTTTCAACTCGCGTCGATTTTGACCAAACTTCACTTCCAGGAGTTATTGTTTACCGTATTCGACGCGTAGACCAGACCAACGCCCTGTTTGGTATTCAATCCCAAGGCTCGTCCTTGCAAGGAACTCGCGGGCTCTTTGGTCGACAGAAGCGTCAAAGGACAAAGTTGCAGAACGTCATTCGAATCATTGTCGAATCAGGATTAATGTATACCACCATTGCTTTCATCACGTTCATTACTTTCGTGGTTGGAAGCAACTCTTTCTATCCTACTTCAGATGCGGCATGTGCATTCAGCTTGATCCCCCGCTCGACTGCTAATTTATTGATCCAACAGGAGCTCCAAATTCTGTCCATTGCTTTCAATCTTATTATCATTCGCATCAGTGCTCATCCCAGTGGTTCAGATGATCATAGTACAAGCGTTCAGTCTGCACCACAGACATTCCCGCTACGCAAATTCAGTTCAGCACCGAAGAGCACAAATGAATCAACCCAAATTGAATCCGGCGCATATAGGACAGGTATGAACAAACCACAACAAGAGTCGTTTTTGGAGGTTGAAGAAGGGAACTGGGCGCAAAGCTTGACAGTGAAGCCACAGGCTCTAAATATGGAGATTACGGATGAATAGGATGGAGCCAGAGTTCTCCAGAGTTGGACCTTAAATTTAGCTGTGAGAATTCGCGAGGATATCATGAGTCGACGTTGCCACATTTCCTTAGGGGGTATAGCTCAGCTGGGAGAGCAGCAGACTGAAGTTATGAGTAGCCGTTCTGAAGGTCCCGCGTTCGATCCGCGGTACCCCCATGAGTTTTTGTTTCTCCACCAAGGTAGCAAGAAATACAATAACCATTACATTGACACGTACATACAAATGTTGTACCCAGCACATACAAACATATAATCCATATAACCACCCCACTGGCCATCATTCTACGGAATTGAATTTCTCTCAATATCATGCCCAGATTTGTTCATATCCATGTCAGATCTGAATGAAATTGCGCCCCGAGAACGTGCTGGCGAATAATCCACGTCCACGTTCTCCTCGTTCGTGACCATCACTTCCAGAGTCCTTTTCGATATGATTTCGTCTGGTGCTGGACTAGTACTCTCCGCTACAGAAGTGAATGTACGCAGGGGAAATGATGGGTGATGTGGCCTAGTAGTTTGTACACTGTAGTTCTCTTCAGGCCGAGTACTTATACGAATAATGATCAGGTTGAACGCTATTGAGAGGATTTGAAGTTCCTGATAAAAGGGAAACGATCTGTCACATTCACAACAGGATGACGCAGGCATCTACTCACTGCGTCGGAGGTTGCATAGAACGAATTACTGCCGGTCAGAAATGTAATGAAGGTGATCAATGCGATGGTCGTATAAAGGAAGCCTGATTCGATGATGATTCTTGTAACGTTTTGCAATCTAGTCCTTCGGCTACTACGACCAAAAAATGCGCGGCTACGCGACGATACGCTCTGTACAGCATACGCTGAATTTTCTTGATCTACGCGCCAGATGCGATAGACAATCAACCCTGGATGACAAGTGGAATATCAAGCAAAGATATGTTTATCGAGAGAATTTGAACTACCAGTGGCCAGTATGTTATTGACGAGTGACATAGTCCATCCAGATGTGATGCTGGGTGTAAGGTCCGACAAGCCTGGGCCCGTCAGCAAGACGTGAGGATTATCAGCGCTTGCTTCCAAGTAGATCACAAAAATGGCGAGACCCAGGTAACCTAGCCATAAAAGAAGCGGAAACGCGATGACGAGCCATCTCTTGTTATACACCACCCAGCAGCGGTACACCTAAGCCGCAGTCAATATGATAGCTCGATCGTATGCAATTTGAAAGACTTTACAAGGACTCCGTCGCTAATGAGTTTTCCAAACACCACGTTACATGTCTGAAGTTCTATGAGTGAAGATAGAAAGCTGTCATCAAGCACTCACCTTCAAGATGTTGACCCAATCTGTTAACCCTGTGAATCGAGCAGCAGATCCCCCTGGACCTGTGTAAAATATGAATGCTTCGATATTGTGCATCAACCCTAACGCGACGTCGAAGGTCGATAGGAATGCCAACAACGCTGCGACTACGAGCAGAGGCCAATTGATTGTCGACAGTGGCTTTAAATTTCCTTTCGAGTCCCACAACAAATAACGTATGCTTTGAACGAAAGTGATCAGAAACATCCCCCAGAAGACACTGGCGAGGAAAAGGCCCAAGAGCTGAGCCTCGCTGATTCCCAGCGCCATCTCAGTATGTTGTCGAACGGTACGCGGTATTACAGGCTGGTTTGAAGACTGGAAATTTGTGTACTTGAAACAGCTTCTTAAAAAACCCCTGATGATTTGACGGCTGTTCGACGTAACCGCATGATTAGAGAAGAGATCACAATGGCTATCAGTTCCCCTGACAATAAAGAAAGAGGAAACTAAAAACGTGCAACTCACCAATTTAGAGGATGATCAATATTCCGTGGTTCTGCTCGTGCTAAGAATCGTTCTCACCGTTATAGACCGTTATCTCATACAATCTCGAGACTTGGTTGTGGATTCAAGAAAGACAAGATATACGACAACGTCGACAGATTATAAAGACAGCGTAAAGACCTTATCTCGAGCAGTCTCGTTTTCGCCGGAGCGACTGTATCGTTTGACACGGATACTCCCGTAGCCGAACAAGAATAGGCAGGAACTACTGTCAAAGTTGGAATTGAGCAACATCTTGTTGAATAGAATGACGGGAATCATGAACTGATGATCATGAGGAAATTCAAACATATACTGCTCGAATTTGACACGAGAACATTTATGGAAGGAAGAAAAAAAGTGTGTTGAGACTCAAGATTTTGAAGGTTACGCGGGCGTCACGGGCGTACCAGCTTATAAGACGCGATACGATGATTACCGTCGAAAGTCACAGCCTCAAAGATGTAAACAATATGCGGGCATATACAACTCCAGAAATGACGGAGCATTGACCAATCGGCGTGTGCATTTTTAGAGGCTGCGCTGCTAAGAGAGGGTTAAGACTCTATGTAGAGTACTATGTAAGAGAGTCAAGTGTCGGGGCTCGGCAATGATGCATTGATGGGGAGAATTCAGCCTAGGGAATCTGTTCAATCTCAGCCATACATTGCGAAAAACAGCTTTGACCATGACTATATAATTTGAATACTCACGTTTATCGGTTCGCCCTGAGGCATGTTGAGGTTCGCCTTTCCGTTTGTTCAGAGTAGAGAAGATGATGAACTAATGAATCAGCTGACCATCATAATAAGCCATAATATCGAAACTCACATAAACTCACCAATCCTCTTCGAGTCTGCCTAGGAGAGACTACAACGCCCCCTCACACTAACTCTCAGCGGATCGTCTCACTATATACTGGGAAACCATATCCCAAGCTAAGCAATAGATCATCAGAGATCCTCGGACGAATGACCATGATTTCGAAATAAAATCTATCTCCGAAACTCAACCCGAGTCCCACTCCGAATGGAATCGGAAGTTTGATATACATAGAGTAGTGGCTGGAGCAACTTCGAGACCGAGAATTCAGCAACTACAGAACTCAGGCTTCGAGTCAAACACAGAGTCAAAAAATTCAGACCAGCCTTAATAACATGACGGAAAAAGACCTGATCCAAAAATACGAAATACAGTATTTACACCTTGAGTTTGTAAGTACCTGATCTCTACGATCCAGCGTAGCCTGAAAGTAACTTGATAGGTATTGGAATCAAACTCTCAGTCTGGTGCGAGGACGTCCGCCACGAATATTTATATCGACCTCCCTTGGTCGATCATCCCTCTCACTCCTGCGTACCCTTACCCATTGTCTCCTACTCTGCTCATCAATCACCCAGGGAGCAGGATATCCGTTTCCTATTTGCCTGTTCTGCTCCCCAAGACATAGTACCAGCTCTCGTAAACCTGCGAATTCCGTGCCAGCACGCTTGGACACCTCCTTCCACACCTCCATTGCAAAATTCTCATCGGCTTCGGGGTAAGAAGCCAGTTTCGTACGTCTATCACCTTCTTGTTGTTCTTTACTGGGAAAAGCAAAGAATGCAATTCCAAGATCCATATGTATCGTCAGTTCACGAAGGTTGGTAAATTGACGTAGGACGGTGTAATATGCGCACTCTGATTTGCCCTCCAATGTCCGGTCAATATCTAACGCAAGATTGGTCAATTGCGGACAGGAACCACGGATATCAGCGAGCTGGTCGAGAGTTAAACAACTCCGCATAGAGTCTCCTTTGGAAGATTCGACCTGGTGGAGTGACAACGTGCGAATGGAATGGGCATGATGGACGAGGATCACGGAGAGAATGGGTTCCCAACTTCGGGAGGTTTTTAGAACGATGGATAGAGATTCCAATGGTCCACTGGAAGCTAGGAAGATACAGAAGGCATCAACCATTTCTTCTATTTGGTCAAAACCGCGCGACATGGTCAAGAGACGGACATCAAGCTGCTTGAGTGCAGGAAGATGGTAAGCTGGGTCTGTGCCAGCAAGACATAGAAAATCTAAGGAAGGTCGAATATTTGTCAATGAGATAAGCTGGTCCAACTGCGTGTATGAGGATAATTCTTTTAACGCCTTTCCATGGATATGATCCATTTGTAACGACTTGATGCATTTCCGTATAGGTGCATCGACTTCGAATTTCTTGCTCTCCAGATTCTGGGCATACATTTGATCCATAGGACGCACATACATGACACAACCACCTGCCGAGCGGGAAGTTCGAGAAATAGCTTCTAAATTCGGCGAAAGTTTGGCAATGCGATCGAAAGCGCTGAAACGAAAGTCGGCTACAGGCCCGGTTCCAGTGATAAAATGTCCATGTAATGACCGAAGACAGGGAGAGTTGGCCAGTGCGTCTTCCGCAGGATCACCGAACGGAGTGTCTGGTGAAATTCGAGTCCAATTTCGGATATGAAGACGAGAGGAAGGATGATGATGGTGCAAAGCATCGAGGAGCACGATTGGCATTTGTTCAGAATAGGCGAATGTAAATGATGCAAGGTGCGACAATCGGCTCAGAACTTGAACGAGTGAGGTCCACTTTCTCGTGTCTGGGGCTTGAATAGATTCATCTCGGCGCAGGCGCCAGTAAGGAGGAATACCCTTGACGGTAATGTGCCGAGTGAAGGAGAGTATCTTTGAGTCGTTCTCGAGCCAGGATTCCATACGAGCGATTGTATCACGCTGTAGATCGGGAGAATAGTCCATCACACACGAACGGTGAAATATTGGTAAGGTAATATCGTACAAGGTCCGATTGGCACATATCATAGAGAGCAGTGAGTGCTTAGAGACATCGTGAACCTGAGTATCCGCTCTGTTAGTTCATCGCCGTAGGAATTAATTGTCCAAACCCACGATTAGCAATATGTGACACAGGATATCAATATTGAGATCGTCTAGAGCTGGCTTGGAAGACATAGTAGGGTTTCTGAAAGCAAATTAAACCTTTGGAAAGCCTTAAAGACTTTGTATCGCAGTCGTGGTGGAAGCTGTGCAACTGCAACCTAGTGATAAGAATACACGGTACACAAGTTCAACAGTGTAACAACCCGGAGTTGGGTCCCGCACATACTAGATTATATTTCCTCTGTTTTCAATAGAAGTAGGACGGGTTCTGCTCAATATACACCAGTATTTGGGAAATTCCGGGGTACATATGCACCTGAGTCCTTACAAGCGCGCATCAATGGGGCAGTCTTTCTTCTCGTTCCAATGATTTTCCAGTACCTTGCTGGTCCATTCTAGCTTTGTCA